CAAACTGCCTGTGATGATGCTTGAGAAACTAGAGGACTGAGAGACTGCAGTCTGCTGCCAATCTGAATTATAGCTGGTCAACTTCCCTTATAAACTCCCTAACTGTGAATACGGTTCTGTAAAGCTTGTGTAGTCACTGCAACAGACTTGGACCCAGCAGAACAGTATGACTAATGTTGGAATGAACAGAAATAAATGCAGGAATGTGGGAGACCATGACTCACTGTATATGAATTAGTATGTCCTGCAAATTTTTTTGAAGGGGAGAGTTACCCCTTTGTGGAGTTAGATGTTAGACTGAAAACCTGAGGAAGAATGATGTTACATTCATAGTTAAAACAGACAATTTCAAAACCTATTCTAAAGTATAATGTTGTAAGTGATAGGATACTATCCACACACATAAAATAAAGACTTGTTAATATGATTGTTACTCAATTATATAAATCAACAGCTAAAGCCAGTAGAAAGAAACAATTTCTACCAAATTTTGTAGTCTGAAATAAACCAAAATGAGTTAATTTCTAGTAAATGGAACGCAAAATTTGGAAACAAGAGTTAAAGAAGGGTAGTTAGAAAGTATGGATAACGTGACAAAAGAGCTAGAATAGAAAAGCAAAAGGGAAGAACTTGCTTGGCATTTCTCAAGATGAAAGAACTGAAAAACAAATTCAAGCCGCAAGCTGCAATACTTGAGGGATGCATGAGCAAAATACGAATGACACAGTAATCTTGTCATTACAGAAGTCCAGAGTGAAGGCTGCATAGTGGAGTGGACATGGAGGGGAGGGATTGCATAATAATCAAAGAGATTTTCTTTCTGTTCAAGGAGAAGAGTGAATTGGGGAGGGGGGGTAGGTAGGGTGAAAAGTGCAACAATGAATGACTGGAAACCCTAAGTCTCTGTAAACTTCCATTAAAATGAATTTAAAACAAAAACAAACCTTCTGGGTTGTAAGATAGTCCTTAGACGACAGTTCATAGCAATAGGCAAACACATAAATAACGAAGAAAGAAGCAAAATTAATGATCTATTCAACACTTTCACCAAATAGATAAAGAACAATCTAACCCCGTTGCTTCTAGGAGAAAGGAAATTATAAGAACAAGAGCTGAAATCAATGAGCTAGAAAACAAGAACAACAACTGAAATCATCAGGAGTTCATTTTTCAAAAAGGGTGAATAAAATTGACAAAGCATTGGCAGACTTAAAAGAAAAAAGGAGAAGACACAAATAACTTGATTAAGAAAAGACAGAAGTGATATCACAACAGAACCAGAGAAAATGAAATTAAATCTATAATATTGGAGTATTGTGAAAATCTATACTCTGATAAATTAAAAACTTAAGAGGAAATGAACAAATTCCTTGAAACTCATGCTCTTCCCAGATTGACAAGGACGGATGTAGAACACTTGAACAGACCCATCACAAAAGAAGAAATTGAGCAGATCATAAAAGGACTCCTCCCCTTCTACCACCTCCCTCCAAAAAGTCCTAGATCAGATGGCTTCATGGCTGAATTCTACCAAACATTCATAGAAAATTTATCACCAATTCTATGTAAATAATTAAAAAAAAAAAAAAGAACAGTCAAAAAGACATTTTATGAAGCAAGCACAACCCTAATATCAAAACCAGGGAAAAAGATACAAAAAAAGAAAACTACAGATCAGTATCTCTCATGAACATAGATGGAAAAAGAAAAAAAAAATAAATTGGTAGGTGTTCAAAACTTCAAGGTATTATCATATACGCAAGGAAGAATATCACCAAAGGGAAGGAAAACCCAAGCTGCACACTTAAGGACTGGTGAAATAAAAGCTCTAGAAAATTGATATAATACCAATAGAAATGCTTCCACTCATTTGTCTATATCAATGTCAATGAATCTGGAAGACAGCTACCTAAATAATAGATTGGAAGACATTTTTAAGGAAGTGAATTCTAAAGAAAACTAATCCAAAAGCATGTTGAAATTATCAAACAGTATTATTAATTTTACACAAAAAGAAAATTTTACTGAAGAAAATAAAACATGGTTGTAGCAGTAGATGAAGAGGATAGTGAAAGACATTCAAGTTGGATTTAGAAAAGGGTGTGAAAAAAAAGAAAAAAAGAAAAAGAAAAAAAGGGTGTGAAAAAAGATACTCTGATGTCAGAGTGATCTTACTCAAAACCAGAGACTATTAGAAAAACATTTACCTTTGTTTTACTGACCAAGTAAAACTATTCACTTGTGTGGATCTTTGAGCTAGGGTGACATAGCCCATAAGAGAGCTGCATTGCTACCACAAAGCTCTAGCCTATCTGTTGGCTTGAATTAACCACCAGTTCAACAGGATAAAAATGGGCAGTTTCCTACCCTGTTGTTTACAGCCTTGGAAACACAATGGAGGGCCACGTTTGAGGCTCTTTTAACTTGAGAGTTATGACATGAGCTTTGTGATGATGATCACAAATTTTGGGTAACATTGTGAACAATGGGAATTCTAGAACATAAAATTATGCTCATGTGGGAACTGTAAACTGGCGAAAGGGTAGTAAACAGAATTTGGTGGCTTAAAATCAAGAAAGATGTATGTCAGGGCTGTATTCCTTCTTGATACTTATTTAATCTGCATGAGGGCAAGTAATTTAAGAACATGGACAATAGAATTTAGTATTAAGAGTTGGAGGAAAACTCATTAACAACCTGGAATATGGAGCTGACACAATGCTACTTGCTAAACATGAAACGGGGTTAAAATATTAATTGAAGATGATCAAAGACTGCATCCTTCAGTATCAATTACACCTCAATATAAAACAAAAATCTTGAAAACTAGACCAATAAGCAATTATCATTTTTAATATGGGAAAGAATGCCAACTTTAAGGATTTAATTTTACTTGGGTTCATGATCAATGCCCATGGAAGTAGAAGTCACAATATGAAGTAATGTATTACACTTGGAAATACTGCTGCAAAGGTCCTCCTTATATTGTTAAAAACCAATAGTGTTATCTTAATAACTAAGATACTCTTCTCTGACTCAAGCCATCATATTTTCAATCATTCTTCAATGTTCATCAGAAAAGCAACGGTTAAATAAATTTAATCACCTTTCTCTTAGGCTTGTAGCTTTTGTTCCTGAGGTAGAGCATGATATTGGCGCTCTGGAGATATTCAAAGAAAACATCCTATTTCTTACATCCAAAACTAATAATTATTTTAAACTAATAATAAATGTTAAGTGTGCAATTATCTCATGTATCCTTCTATGAGGAATATAAAGTGGCCAATAGAAAAATAATAAATTCTTTTTAATAAATACAGACTTTAAGTACTGTATAATTGTTGTTGTTATATGCTGTCGAGTCGTTTGCGACTCATAGCGACCCTATGTACAACAGCCCTAAACCCTGCTCTATCCTGTGCGAATCGCACCGCCTCTGACACACCCATCCCGATTACCCCAGTTACTGAATCAATCCATCTCATAGAGGGTCTTCCCCTCTTGCGCAGTCCCTCCACCTTCCCAAACATGATTGTCCCTCTCCAACATCCTTGCAACATGCCCAAAGTATGTCAGACGAAGCCCCAGAATCCTTGCCTCTAAGGAATAGCTTGGTTTAACCCACTCCAGGATGAATCGGTTTGTTTTATTGGCAGTCCATGGTACATTCAATACTCTTCTCCAGCACCACAGCTCAAAGGCATCAATTCTCCTTCTGTCCTCCCTAGTCATTGTCCAACTCTCTGATGCATAACAAGTGATTGCAAAGACCATGGCCTGTATCAGGCGCACCTTAGTCTCCAGAGAGACATAAACTACTCATATGCAAATTCAAGCTGAAGCTGAGGAAAATTAAACCAAATGCACAGGAGCCAAAATATGACTTTGATTTCATACCACCTGAATTTCAGAATCATCTCAGGAACAGGTTTGAGGCCTTGAACACTAATGAGTGAAGACCAGATGAGTTGTGGGAGGATGTCATCCAGGAAGGTATCATCCAGGAAGAGTGCAAACGGTCATTACAAAGACAGAAGAGGAAGAAAAGACCAAAATGGATGTCAGAAGAAACTTTGAAGATTGCACTGGAGTGCAGAGAAACCAAAGCACAAGGAAGAATTCAAGATATTAAAGAGCTGAACAGAAGATTCCAAAAGGCAGCTCGGAATGACAAAGCAAAATATTACAATGAAATGTGCAAGGAGCTGGAGTCAGAAAATCAAAAGGGCCGAACTCGCTCAGCATTTCTTAAGCTCAAGGAACTGAAGAACAAATTTAAACCTCGAGTTACTATAATCAAGGATGCTTTAGGCAGAACATTAAATGATCCAGGAAGTATTAAAAGAAGACGGAAGGACTATACTGAGTCGTTGTATCAAAAGGAATTGGCAGACACAGAAGGATTTAATGAAATAACATATGATTAAGAGCCTATGGTGATGAAGGAAGAAGTTCAAGCTGTTTTGAAGGAAATAGCAAAAAATAAGGCCCCAGGAAGAGATGGTATACCAACTGACATATTTCAGCTAACAGATGCTGCCCTGGATGTACTACTCACCAAGTTGTGCCAACTTGGCCAACTGACTGGAAGAGATCTATATTTGTTCTCATTCCAAAGAAGGGTGACCCAAAAGAGTGTGGAAACTAATGTACTGTATAATATAGTGTTCTTAATTCATCTATAGAGGTTAAATTTTTAAGAAATACATAAAACAAAATGATTTCTGTAAAAAATGTATAAAATTAGGCTTTTATTGCTAGAGATTTTTAGAGCATCAATACACATTTAGACATGCACTCCTAGAAGATACTGGTTAAATAAAATGATTCTGAAGGTAGTTTCCTCATTAATTATAGAGAAGATCTAAATCTTTTTAATTATAATAAGGGAAAATAATAAAAGAAATAATGTTTTTATAAATTAGTACATAAAGGAGGGTACTTTTAAAAATAATGTTATGATTTACTTGATAAAACAAAATCCATACTTACAAGTAGACTGAGCTGGTCCAAGTTGTGGAAAAGTCATAAGAACAGAAACCTCCATTAAATCTTTTTGCTTTGGATGTTCAGTTATTTGGTCAGCCCAAGCCACCATTTTTTTCCTCTCAACTAAATCCTGAATTGTCTTGAAGTCAGACTCAAAACCAGCATTTGATAGGCCAGCTTCTTTTAATGCACAATACTGTTTTCTGAAGGCTGGAATTAAAGTGTTTAATAATCTATAAATAAAGAGAAAAGGTAAAAAATTAAAGTTTAATAGCCTGATTATTGTTTTTTAAAATATCACTCTGTATGAGATCATGAAAATGATTTCCTATTCATTTTGTATCGCTGTGCAGCATCAAGTCAGAACCCACCGACTGGTGATCCTCTGGTGGGTTCTCAAAGGCAGTTAAATACATGGGAGGATGAAGAGACCATAGCTGACATCCAAGCAGATATATGCACACCCATGTTCATTGCAGCTTTGTTCACAATAGCAAGAAGGTGGAAACAACCTAAGTGCCCATCAACAAACGAATGGCTAGAGAAGCTGTGGTATATTC